CATTTTATCTTTGCACAAGACCACAGTTTGCATGTTTGGCAAGGGAAATGAGTGTGTGCAGGAGACAGAAAGAAAAGGAGACTTTCTAGACTATGGTGTCCTCGTGTCCAGGTAGAGGAGAGTTCCCAGGAGGGCCTAGTTAAGTCTGTGTTCATTGGTGACTTACTCTGGACAAATCCACAGGACGTCTGAGTGCAGTGGGTTGAGGTGTTGATGTCAGATGGTTGGGGAGGGAGAAAAGCTGGAAAGCTTACATGAGGGTGTTTTAGGCCACAGGGAAGGATCCAGGTGAACTAGAGAGGACGTTGATAAATTGAATGGACATTATCTCTATTCTTCATATGACCAATTCTGGAGTGAAGATATAATTTCCATCCCCTGTCCCCAGTAGGAAGCCCTACTTTGTGTGTGGTTTTTCTTTGTCCAGAAGCCAGACTCTCCCAACTGTCAAAGAGTGTAGAGTTCAGCTCCATGTGTCTCTATTGATAGCATGGTCCTCCTTGACCAGATGTTGCACTAAGGATGCAATAGTGGGCTGTGTGTGTGTGTCTGTGTGTATTGTGTGTATGGTACACTCATCTCAGATTAACCGGGGCTCAGGCTGATCTCTAGCTGAGACTCAGAATTTTGGAAGGAGAGCAAGGACTCAGAGTTGGTCCTCTTCCACCACCATTCTTCCCAGGTATGCAGCAGCTAGCTCATAGATCAGTTCTACCTTGTGGAGTCTAAACCCAAAGTGTGTGTGCTGAGGGATCATGTATCTTTAGGCTAGTGGGAGAGGGAGAAACTTAGACAAAATTCTGCATGATGTTCTTTCTTCATTTTATATATGTCGTGTCAGTGCCTTCTTCCTGCATGGCTTCTGCTAAGTAATCAGAGTTTAGTCCTCATTGGTTCTGCTTTGTAGGTGACTTTGTTTTTCATGAGCTGCTCTTAAAATTCTTTGTCTTCAGTTTTGGCAAGTTTGATTATCATATGTCTTGGTGACTTTCTTTTGGGATCTATTGTATATGGGTTTATTGAGCTTCTTGTATGGATATCTTTTTTTAAAAATGTTTTTATTTTGGATTGAGTGAAAGTTTACAGGGCACATCATCAGCTTCACATTCAATCATTCATATAGCTTGTTTCATTACATTGATTATTATCCCCTCCATATATCATCAGTTAACAGTGTTTCTCTCTATCCTCTTTAGCTTTTTTTTTTTT